ATCGATAATCCGCTCATGCGGACCCGCAAGCACCGAGCTGATCACCCGGTCGCCCTCATGCACGACCACCGCCGTCATCTCCAGCACGATCTCCCGCTGCTGGATCGCGAACTTCCGCGTGAACCACACAAGGTTCTTGCGAATCGCGACCGCCGGCTCGTCCGCCAAATCCCGCATCAGCCGCTTCAGCTCAACGCTGCCCTCCCGCTCCTCCTCCACGCCCTCCCGGCCGTCCTCCGGCCACTCCTCCCGCCCCGTGTACTCATACGGCCGCTCTCTCCCTCGGCGCGGCGGGCTGTAGCTCGGCCGGTACCCGTACCCGCCTCCGCCCCTGCGTGTCGTCTCCACGCGTCTCCGCACCCGCTGGTTCTCCGCCGCCCGCGAGTAGTAGTACGCACCCGGCCCCGCGCCTGAGCGCTTGCGAGAATAGAGCCCTGATTCCACGCGATATCCGGGTGGGGCAGCATCGGTCGAGGGCAGCCCGACCGCCTCGAGCTGCTGCTCCTTCAGGAGCAGCTCCTGCAGGACGTCGGACTTCGCGAGCACCGTCTGGGCGCCGCCTTCCTGCCGGATGGCTTCCACCAGAGCGCGCTGTTCGCGCGGCGCGGTCTTCTCGAAGAACGCGATCACGACGTCCACCCTGTGCTCGCCCGTCAGTACGCAGAACACGCGCAGTACACAGAGCACGCACTTGGTGATCAGCGTGTCCAGCTTGTCGTTCGCGCGGTCGACTCCGAGCCCCGTGTGGATGGAGATCGCAAAGTTGAACTCGCCCTTGCGGTCGCTGAACAGCTGGATGTACTCCTTCAGCGTCCCGTCCCAGCTCGGCGCCTTGAGTACCTTGACGAGCAGCCGCTTGCGCGAGTACGTGTCGCACGCGTTTGCGCACTCCTTGATGTCCTTCGCCGTCTTCTTGATGAGGTCATCGAGGCGCGCGCCGATGCTGAGCCCGTCCCCGCCGATGTGGTTTGTGCGCACGCCTTGTAGTCTGAGCGGGTGTAAGGGAATCAGCAAAAGTCGGCGAGCCAAGATCACGGAGGACGTACTGCAGAAGCGCGGCCATCATGTTGCGCATTTCCAGGAACAGCAGGTTGATCTTCTTGTCGTTGTCGCGGCGCTTCGCCTCCAGCTCGACGACGACTTTGAACGCGCCCACGGCCAAGGCGAGGAACGGGTGTATCTGTGCGACGGCGTCGAGCGCGCGCACGAGCGGGGGCAGGCTCTCTACGAGGCCGTTCACGCCGTCCATCAGGATACCGAGGCCATCGCTGCTGCTGGTAGCCTGTCCTGCTGCGTTCACTTTATCTACGAACTCCCCCTCTAGCCTGCCTGGGCGCGGCGTGAGCGAGATGCGGCAGGTATGTTAGAGTAGTCGTCGGAATCGGTACTTACCTGCACGACCAGGCTCGCTAGGCTGAACTGCTCCGTCGAGAGCGTCCTGAGCATCCTTGAGCTCCCGAGACGAGGACTGTTCCTCCTTTGATTTGTTCGCGTTCGAGGACATGCTCGGTGTTCCTCAAGGAGGTCCGATGTGAGCTGGTCAAAGCGCGGGGATCCTAGGACACCGTCCGCGGAGAAGGTTGAAGTAAACGAAGTGAGGAAGCGCGAGAGCGCCACCGCCCGACATCGGCGCCATCGATAAACTAGCACGGGTTTCCAGCTGCACGCACGATGTCGCGCGCACAATGCGGGTAAGCGTGTTCTGGGCGCGCGCCACGGACAGTAGCGGCGTGCAGCGCTTGCGAGGTCGTATCACCGTATTCTCAGGGCCGATGGAGTCTTTGGCACGAGGGCAGAGGGGTAGAGGGTTGAAATATACGTGGTCAACGGCCCTGTTCGACGACTTTGAGTAGTTCGCTCAAGTCCTCCGAGTGATTGGTGCAGGTGCATAGTAGGCTACAGACCAGAAACACGGCTACACAGACTACGTTGAGGTGTCGGCTCAGCCAGATCAACCCAGAGTATGTGGATACAGGTGCGATAACGAGAAAGAACGCAAAGATCTGAGTGCACGACGGCTCCAAGGGCAAGAGGAAAAGAGGACTGCACCGACGATGAATGTTGATGGGCGTCTGTTGCTCGTGGGAGAAGAACGCAAGCAGGAGCACACAGAGAAAGCGGGCGAGTGGCGGTGGCTCAGGATGCGAGCGGCAGTGGCCTCGCTCCCGACGACCACCATCCCATCCCGAGCCTCCTCCTTTATCTCCCCTCTTCCTCGTCTCTCACCGCCAACATGGCCTCTCTCCTCGAACGCATGAGCCGCCCCGCCGGCTCCGGGCCCTCCGTCGGCCCCGTCCGCGCAAAGTCGAAGCGTGCCGCAGCAGCCTCCGCCGCAGCGCCCTACGTCATCGTGCGTCGCTCACCACCGATCGCACGTCGCTCCACGCCATCTCCGTCACCTGACCGCGTCAAGCTCCTCTCCTTAGCATTCGTCTAGTGGCTACAAACAGGCGCCCACCAGCTTGAACCCGCCCTACGCCTACGCCTCCTGCACGACACCGGCCCAGGCTCGCGCTCACGAGACGACATCCGCAACCCCGGCCGTGCTGCTGCACACGATGTCAGTGCATGAAGTCGGTCAGTAAAGGGCACGTACCGCCGACCAGCAAGCTGACGCGCTCTGTCGCCAGAGCTTCCCGCGAGTGAGTAGAACGAAAGGGGGACGCATACAGCCGTGGTGCTTGCTCCTCCACCCCTCGGCCCGCCTTATATATCACCATCTCCCTCTCCTGCCCGTGTGCCGGCGCTGCGCACGGACCACGCGGAGCCCGCTACCCGCACGAGTCTTGGTACGTTCCCTCTGCGCCCGCTTCCTTCGCTTATCCCATCCAGGGTGCACACAACGCAGCCGAGGCCACTCGCGCACACCGCATGGAGACCCGCCCGTCGGAAGCCGCCGCCCCACAACATCCGGCCATGCGCCCGCTCCGCCCTACCAAAGAGCAAGCCCGGCCACGCTCCCCCGGCTGTCTCATTCACGCCGCCCTCAATCCGGTCCCTGCCTCGTCGGCCATGGTGGGGTGGTGGGCTGCAAGAGACAGAGTGCGTGCATCCGCCGCGCCCCCGGGGATCGTGAAACACGCGCATCGCCCATCGTGACACGGCTGCTCTCACGGAAGCCGCGGCGCGGTGCGGCCCTGCTAGCAGCACGTCGACATCGGCAATGAGAGCCGTTCGTCGCGTCGCCAGCACCAGACCCGCTTGACCACGGCGGTGCTTCGGTGGCCGTGCGTCGGCGCGCCATCCAACCCCAACAGCCACCCTCTATGAAGCACAGCCTACGAGTGCGGTGGCGCGCACCGAGCCTGCCACACAACTCTGGACCACGCCCCGCGCTCGCACTCCGCCGTGCCCGCGCCCGCCCACTCAATCTCGCATGCATCGCGCCCGCTGCCCCGTTCCCCGCTCCCCGCTCCTCGCTCCCCGCGGGATGCAGACGTCGCATACACGCGGGTCTCGCACGCGGCCGCGCACACCGCCCTCCGCAATCCTAGTACGTCCGCCGCGGCTCCCGTCCGCGTGTCTGAAACGCGGTGCGCCGCACACTGACGCCGCTTCGCATCCGGCTGCAGCCAGCGTGCGTCGCCAGGGGCCCCAACCCCATCGCGCCCACCACCATCGCGTCCGGCAACAATCACAGCACACAACTGGTGCGCTCGCGCTGTGCGAAGGGCGCAGCCGCCCAGAGACAGGTACGCGCCGCCTCCTCCTCCGCCGCCGTGCTCCGAGTGGCGACACACCGTGCACGCTGCACGCCGCGGCCCCCCGATCTCCCCTCGCAGGGCCAGCCCACATGCCACGGGCTCGGGGGGCGACGCGCCCGGACCCGCACCCGCGCCGTCCGCGTATGCGAACGGCTGAGAACGTATGGCCCGCGACGACCCCGGCTTTGCGGCTTGCGAATGCGCAGCGGTGGAAACGACCCCAACCCGGGCGTGCTCATATCAGTAACGTACGCACCGCCGCGCCCTGCCGCCGCCGCCGTCGGGCTTCTGCACGAGCCGCAGGCATTGGCCCGCCTCTGTCCTGCGCGCACGCGGCGTCCGCGCGCGCTATAGTAGATACTTCGAGTGCACAATACACGTCCGTTTTGCGCCCGCAGAGCTATGTCAGACCGTGCGGTGGTGGCGGCGGTGTCCCGTCTGGAATCGCACGGACGCGGCCTCGAGAGGCACTCGGGTCGCAGCAGGACGTGCCTCGCGGCGTCTGCGCTGTCCATCTCGCGTGCGGACCGTCGGGCAGAGGAGTGCACGCGTAATCCCAATGTACCACTGACACGGGATGTTGGTACGACCGCGGAGCCGTGTATTCTGCGCTGCTCGATGAAGAGCCCCGCGGACATGTGCAAGTGACGACACAAGTAACGCTTGGCTAGTGCCGTCAACACGATGCTACCCCGGGCCATAGTCCATACCCAGCACGACTTGTATGTACACCCCGACTCATGCCACCCAGAGATCCCGCACTTGCGCAATACACGTCCCCGAGCCGCCGCGGCCGGCATGTACAACCATTAAACAGCATGGCTGCATTCACGGGCCAAAATGCCTTCAACGAGTTCAAGGTAGCCCCGAACAGCCCCACGCACACGCTTCGCCCTGTCCGAGTCCGAGTCTGCTCTTTCACGGCGCACGGGGCCCACCGCTTGGTGTGCCGGTACCAAACCCACAGGCTTGCTCAGGCTGCCCCGCCACTGACTTGGCGGGCGCGAGGCCGGCTCTCTCAGGCGAATCAGGCTGCAGTCGGCCGGCTCAGCGTTGCGAGGCTGCAGCGGCGTGTCACGGATGCGGTAACCCACCGCAAAGCAGGTCAGTGTATTGACTGGCGGCGATGGCGCCACACTAGTAGTCGCTACTGCATGTGCGGCAGTCCCTTATGCTCACTCTCCCTGTCCTTCGCAACTTCGGGATGGCGGTGCACACGCAGTGGTGCTGCATGTCACACAGTGCAGGACTCGGACACTCTTCCGGCGCCGGGCACCGCGACCGATGCTACTCAGGCTGTGGTTCAGCGGATACCCTGTCTATTTGGTGTGGGCTGACACGGAATGCGAGCCCGGGCCCGCCGCGGGGCACAACCCCGAGGCACTGTTCGAACCAGTCTGAACACTTGGCGGGGCCGGGCGGTGACATAGATGTGATGCATAATGATATAGTCCACACCCGACTACGCAGCTCGGGACACGTCCCAGACCAACGTGCACGGGGTTCAATATCCACCGGTTGCTAGGTGTGCAGGCCCGCAGCGCGAAGTACACGCTTACAGTGGGGACTATGCCATAAGATCGGCCACCGGGTGTGGTTGCGCTGCCGGTACAACAGAACCTGATCTCTGGGTCTGTCCCGGCCGCCTGCCATTGAGATTGAGAGGATGAGTGCTGTAATTAGAGCCTCAAAACAGAAACGCACTCACCATCTTAGTGGCTAATTATATGTGCATCGTCTAGACTCGGCTTCTGGTGGCGTGCATACAGGTAATTGTACGACATGGAATCGGACCAGACAAAGACACCCGCTGATGCCAGTGCATCCGAGCCGCCGGGCCTGCAGCCTCCCGACAGACATCAGTCAAAAACCAGGCGACCAAAAAAATATACTCACCTGTGAACGTAACCCGTAACAACAGATTCGGAGATGGCGGCCGGGGTTTGCGAGGTGCGGAGGCTCCGGCATCCGAAGCAACTCCAGGCGGGAGAAGCGAGATCTGAATTTAATATTGCCGGCTCTGCACTCCCAGTGGCTTGGTGCACAAGGACGAGGATGATGCCTAGTTCACCCTCTGTACGGATTCCGAAGACCACTGCAAGAACCGTAGATCTAGTGCCAAAATTGGCTGCTATCCCGGGCTGGCCTGAGGACGTGAGCATCCAAAAAAGAGGTGAGTTTCATGCCACGGGGTGCAGACACAGAAGAGTGGGTTGCCAGCGGAGTGGACTGATTGATTGCCATAAGATCCGGTGTCCGGGGAGGCGTGAAGCGAAGCAAGCATCAGCGGTGAATGTCCCTGTTTCCCGTTGCCATCAGCATACGGCAAAGGCAAGTTCCCGTCGGACCCCGCCACCATGGGGAAAGTTGAAACGGCGAGACAATGTGCCAGTGCCAGGGAACAGTGATGACAGTGGGCCGTGCCGTTGTGTAGCACTACGTAGCGCAGCCACTGTCTGTCAGATCGAGTCGAGCGGTCCCAGGCGAATGATTCTTCAGGTCTTTGGTATTATGCGGCGAGAGAGTGGCAGTGGGAGGCAGGAATAGAACACAAAGTTCAGGTTTTTGGAGTGGCAGGCGCCGGGCATGCAATGGGCGCTTCAAACGACACCAATTGCCAAATCAGGCACTCACTCCTAGATCTTCAGATCGACTGCCCGCGTCTGACATATCTTTCTGTTCGGTGTACGGCCCGCTTGCGCCTCAACTTTTGCACATTCATCACGCAAACACAATTAGCTCACATTATGCACCTCCTGGCGGAGCTTCTGGGCATGTGAATTGTGCGGTGTATGCACATTGACTCCGAGAATTATTTACAAGTCTTGCTTCCGGGCCACACGGTGGCTGTACGAGCAGCACTGGTGAGCCGGGACGGGGTTCTAGCACGATGAGAATGACAGTGATGCATAATAGGGTGTAGGTGGACAATATCGAGCACAAGGCTTGAAGCGGGACAAGTTGCAGTGCGGACATTGTGGGCAATAAAATAATTCAAGGTCGGCCGAGGAAGAGCACCGGGGTGAGCAAGTTGAAGGAGTCGCACCTCCGTGCCCTATTCTGCTGCTGATTATGTCAGAGCGGGCAACAGAATCTTGCGTGAGTTTACGTGAGCGGCCGAGGTGCCGTGCTGGCTGCGGCAGGCATCAACACTCGCCGGATAGCCTCGGATAGCCCGGCAGCGGAGAACCCCTGGAACGAGAAGCGAGCCATGAGAGCGAGCGCTAGGACTCGGCCTATGTGTGACAGTACGCCGATGGAAAAGGCATTCCATCATGTTGCGCTACACGGACAGACCGGCAAATATTTTGCTATCCCGGGACTACCCCACTCGCCCCGCTACCACCCTCATCCCATCCTCTCCATCATGTCTTCTCCGCTCACTGCCCGCTCCTCCGCTGCCCGCTGCCTTCGTCCTGATGCTGGTCGACCAATGTCATGGTGTGCCGATCACAACATCCCGTCTATACTGCCGAGCAGACGCAGCACAAGACGAGGGCACAGGTGAGTCGACATGCGCACGGAGATGAGGCATGTCATCTGATAGATGAGTCGGGGCCGCTGCCAGGTAGGCAAGACAGGACAGCAAGGTTAGTACAAAGCCGCCTCCGCATCGTACAAGAATATGCATGTGTGCGGCGGCTGCTGTCCACGCAAAGTTGAGACGGAGTGCCAAAGCGAATCAGAAGTGGCGGACTCACAGGCCTCGAGCCCACTGGGCAACAGGTGAGTGCTTTGTATCGGATGCGCTGGCACATTGTGGGAAGGCCCATGCAGGACAGGGACGGTCGATGGAAAGCCAGGTACTGGTCACAGCGGGGAGACCAGCGGCAGATCTTCCGGTACGATTTTGGGGGGCGTGCAGAGGGCGGCGGCGTACCAGGTCGACGCCGAATCCTGTGGCTGTGGGCGTGTGCGGAAGACGTCCGCCGCCTTGAATCGTGCATGATGACCTTCGTGTCCGCTAGAGCGCACCTTCAGGGGCGCTCACACCCCACAACGGCGGCGCAGTGCCGGGCAGGACGAGATGGGGGAGGTCGGATGGGTATCGGGGTGTAAGACACGCAACCGGAGGTGAGCACACACGTAGGATTGTATGATGTCTGCAACTCCCCGGACCACGGTGTCTGGCGGACACCGTCGCCTCCCGAACGCCTCCCGGGCCCATATGCTGCACACCGAGCACAAGACCGTATTGAAGTCTCGCCCGCCGAGCGACCAGTGTCGAAAATCGCGTGTGGCGAGACGGGACTGCCAGCGTATTACACCGCTAACATGGTCCAGCGGAAGCGTAGCATTCGATGGGAGACGTCGGGAAACACGACCGCTCGTGCGCGACATCGCGGCCGGACAGCGACCAGCGCAGCTGGAAGCTGTAGCGACAGAACGGCGGATGGGCGCGTTTGCATATGATCATCGAGGACGTACTGGCGGGACCGGGAGCGTGTGAGCATGCGCGCGCAGTTTTCCGAGATGCCCCTGACACTTACGGTCACAGCTGTGGACGTGTCGACGCGATCCGGTAGTGGCAGCGGCCGGTGCATGGCAGGAGGGCGCGGCAGGAGGTTTCGAGCAGGAGGTCAGTGGCAGGATTTCGACTTGGCAACAGAGACTCACCGGTATATTATTAGGCACCCAGCGGGACAGCGGGTGCTCCCAGCAGCCAGCGGAGCATGTCCGAGCGAGGGGCGCAGCGCTGCAAGCGAGCGAGCGACCTTCAGGGAGCGAGGCGTCGGCAGGTAGTGGCAGTGTAGAAGGAGGCAAGGCGGACAGCTCGAAGGACGCGGCAGTGTTGTGGGTGTTGCGTGGGCGCCTAGCTGGTCGACCGTCTTTCTGAGTGTTGTACGAGTGCGCGCGGGGCGGTCTTGTTGCGTAGTATGCATGTATACGGTGCGCCGAGGTCGTGTGCGCGTGTGTGCTGCGAGAGAATGACTTGATGTCCGCCTGTCCGATTTGAAGTGCTCACCAACGACAGGCGAGTCCCTGCCGCCGGCTGCCCTCCTGCTATCTATTTCCCCAGAGCCAAGAGTCCTCAGCTACTTCCCCAGAGCCACCAGGTACTTCCCCAGAGCCAGAGTCCGTCAATATTCCCCTGGCCGTCGCACTCCCCCGCCCACGAGGCCGCACCACACGTGTCCTACCCGATGCCGTGCCTTGACGATGCCGCGCCACCGCTACGCCGCCCATTAGCCCTCAAGAAGTATCAAACACGACGACGAGACCTCACCATGTCCTTCCATATCTCGTACAGGTCCTGTGTACGCTGTAAGCCAATGCCAGATTCCCTGAACGCGCAGAACAGACGAGCCCACCGGATCGATAATCCGCTCATGCGGACCCGCAAGCACCGAG